AAATTTTAAAATGCTCATTTCTCAGCAACCTAGCAATATTTTTTCAAACGGAAAGCGCCATTTTACTCAGAAATGTCTATATTTTCTTTTATGACTGGTTTCAACAACTTCTGTGAGATACGTTTGACCAGTGTTCTATGTAACGTAGTCGTCGCTTATGTGAAATGGCTTATAAGGAGAAACCCTTTTCATCGACCCCGAATGAAGTTTAAGGCAGAAATTTAACGTTCACCTTCCCGAGGAACTTCAGAGTTAAACGTATTTTTCACCTCACCTTACGGCTAGTTTCACTCGAAGCAAGCATTTTGAAGCAAAATTCTGAGTGTAAAGTCGTCAGAATCGAATTTTGGAGTCCCTAACGAGAATTTTTTTTAAAATTTTCTGTTCTTGATTTTTAAATTGAAAGATACGAAATTTGAAAAACCGTAAAATTTAATTTAAATGTCAAAAACAGAAAATGTTAAAAAAAGCACTTCTTAGGGACTCAAAAATTCGATTCTGAACAACTTTGCACTCAGAATTTTGCTTCAAAATACTTGGTTTGGGCAAAACTAGCCGTAAGGTTAGGTAAAAAGATCTTTGGTGAGCCAAAAACCAGCGATATTTTCAAGTCTGGAATTTTTCTGGCAGCCTTCCCGGTTTGTAGAGGACACTTCGAAGTGTATGTTTGAAAGTTTTTTCGGGTTACTGAAATTATTTGCTTGAGGAAAAAATTAATTACTTAAAACAATATTGTTAAATTTTCGACTTACTAGACTTACCGAGCGACCAAAAACGAATTCTAAAATTTTTAAGGTAGTCCATATTGTAGCCCATGAAATTCTCTGTCAGATGAGATATTGGTTGAATTTTTTTGTTGCGTTGCTATTTTACATAATAATGTTGCTGATCGTCGGCCAGAGGCTGTCATAAAGCACCATTACAAGATGACAAGTATATACGACGCGATATCGATTATTTTGTCAGTTGACGTGAAAACTATGCCATTGAATAACTACTAAGTTATATCATATCTTCAGCACTCATACTGGTAGAAAATAGTTATAGCTCCTTCAAACAAAGTAATATACAAGAATGCAGAGATGTGGAGTTATTCTTATATTTATTTCTAACTTGTGCAGTATTATGTCTTGATTTTCAACTTCATCTTTTCTGTTCAACAGCATAAATAACACTTGGTAATATAACTTGTTCAATCAATCAGAAATTCTGATTATGTTGTACTTATGTATGCACGACTAATTAGTAAACTATTGAAGAATGCGAGAATGCTAGACACTTTGGCAAAAAATACTCATTTTTCTTGGAGAACGTCTCTCATGCAAACGGTGCAGAGAATAGAGTATTTTGAAGTAAGACACACATGTACACATTATTAGTAGATATTAGTTTTTATCAAAACATACAAGGTGATCCAAAAAAGACTTATCCCCTATGTATTTATTGACTTTCTTGTGTACAAATATAATTAAACTTTTTATCATTAGTTTATTCAAATAGAGCAAAGATTTCTGGACAAAATGAGACGTCTCCGAACTCTCTAAGAACTTTTTTCATGAAACAGCATTGAATTTACGGAAGGTCCCAAGAGCATATTTTTCTTGTTTGTCCATTAATTGTCCCGATTTTGGTGGTATGGGTCCTTCCGTAAATTGAATGCTGTTTCATGAGAAAAGCTCTTCGAGAGCTCGGAGACGTCTCATTTCGTCCAGAAATCTTTGATCTATTCGAATAAACTAATGGTAAAAAGTTCAATTATATTTGTACACAAGAAAGTCAATAAATACATAGGGAGTAAGTTTTTTTTGGATCACCCTGTAGATAATGTGAGTAGAAACCAACTGTTTATACTGTAAAAGTAAGATTGATCGTCAAGTTTCATTGTTTTTTTAGTTAATGTAACCAAATTTCGAGCATGGTTATTGCTATTGTCTATATGCAAAAATTTTAATGGTCGCTGCGGGTAATATGTTCTTTCATCATCCTTATGATTCATGATTATTGCATAAGTGTTATGTCCTTATTTGCATAATTTTTTCCGTTGTTTCTTTTCTTTTTCTTTCATGCTTATCCTTTTATAATGTAAAGCGTTTTTCGACAAAAACAACTACTATTCTGTCCATTTTGCAATTTGTACAGATCATACATCCACGTCGTAAAAAACTTAGCTTATAATACGCAATAATTAAAATTAATCAACGTAGAACATTACGGTAATGTTGAATACTCAAGCTCAGGTGTCACGTACTGGACTATGTTCAGGTAATAGTCAACTAATAGAAAACATATTACCCTCGACCATATGTTCTACAGATATTTATGATAAATTGTTGAATGAATGCCATTTTGATAATATGATTCATCGATCTAATCCAGTTCCACGTGCTGTATGTATTCAGGGCATAATTGAAGACGATGGTAGTTATCCGTTATACAGACATCCAGTAGATATTCAACTAATATTACACTCTTACACACAAACTGTTCAATCTATTGCTGATTATTTATCCAATTATATGAATCAACGTTTTAATCATGCATTAATTCAACATTATCGAACTGCTAATGATAATATATCTTCTCACTCCGATAAAACGTTAGACATAATTAAAAATAGTTTAATTGTAAGTTTGAGTTTATATCAAAATCCATCTGGTTCTATTCGTACAATGACATTAACAAATAAAATAAAATCAACTGATGTTCAATTAGTACCATTACCTCATAATTCATTATTTGTATTGGACTTGCAATCAAACATCGATTATTTACACGCTATTAATAAAGACAGTAAGCAGGTACAATCAGCTGATAATAATCCAAGGATTAGTCTTACATTTAGATCAATAGGAACATTTGTAAATTCTAATAAACAATTATGGGGACAAGGAGCGATACATAAAACAAAGGATGAATTAGTGTATACAGCCAATCGGTTCTCGACTATGAATGATATTGATACAGTAAAAGCTGAATGGTCACGTCTCAAAAAGGCGTTTGATGCAGAAAACTTAAATGGTTTTGATTGGGAATATTATTATGGAAATGGCTTTGATATTATTGATAAAAGTTCATTAATCGAATCATACAAACGGACAACAGTCAGTAATGAAAATGACGATCAGGACTTCGTTACATGATGATCTGATAGAATGAATAAAAAGATCGTCAGAAATATTGTAAAATGTGATAAGGTGTCCGATATGCCAAGATTTGATTTAAACAAGGTCATAGCACAAACTTTTCATAAAAACTGCATGAGATATTCACGAAATACTGAGACCGCCATTCTTTATGGACCACCCGTTATATATGATGATGATGATGATAAAGAATGAGTCAGACTACGTTTGCTTCCAGGAAGAAACATCGCTGCAACTTTTGCCATCCTCAGAATTCACGCGAAAAGTTTGACCTCAATTCGTAACTGTTTCAATTTCAGAGAAACTAATGAATACGTGCTAGAATATAAGACAAGCTAACCCAAAGTGAAGCAACGGTCTCGCTTTTTTCTGAATAGCTTTGATCAAAATAAATGATAGAATTCATCTTTCCACATTATGCAGAAGACGCTTTGTTCTTTTGAGCCATCAAGCAGTCAACTAAAATCCAAAGTTTGAAAAGTTAGAGCTACTCTTCGCTGGGAATGTCATCAGTTATTTTTAAGCTTAGAAGATACAAACAGTTTTACTGGAAACTCACAAATGATTGAAAAATTCCCTTTACTATGCTTATAAGGCATGCGACTGCCAAATAAAGAATTTGTACAGTTCATTAGACGAGTCACTCAATCTACAGAATTAATGAATGTAATAAAGAAAGGAAAAATCTGCATCAGATACATAAAAAACAACAATATCGAGAACATATTTATGATTAAGTAAGAACAATAGATGATCAGTTAATTTATCGAGTTACACATGAATCAATTAGCTATCTTAGTAAAGAGGAGATACTAGCTATGAAACGATTAAAAGAAGATTGATCAATAGTTTTATAAAGGGTAGATAAGGGTAGTGTAATTGTACTGATGAACAAATTCGATTACATTAGGAAAGTGGTAGAAATGCTGAATAATGATACAAAGTTTACGACCAATAAAAAATATGAAACAACAGAAGATGAGAACAAGATAAGTAACAGATTAAAACAATTATCAAAAGATAAAATAGACGAGGAAACATGTGATAAATTATTTGTTAGAGGTTGCACAATTCCATATTTATATTGCACCGTGAAAATACATAAAAGTAGTGAGTGTCCTTCGCTCGATTATAGCAACATGTAATACTTTATCTTATCAATTATCGAAATATTTACCTGAGTTACTATCGTTATGAGATAGTATTACTGGTGAGTTCTAAACTAATAGCCTTTTCCGTCATTCATGAGATTGGACCTTGCACATGCTACGACAAACGCGTAGGTTTTTCGATGGTGAATGTTAGATCACAGGAACTGGACTAACTTAAGATACCAGTTCTAGTATCAACACTTGAAGGGTGTTTAAGTCCATCTTCCTCGAATTAAATAACGACTAGTATGCTGCAGTTTTAGGCACAGTGCAATACTTTGGACTCGATGGTAAATATTTTAAATAACTTATACCGTTTTTGTGCAAGTGTTCAACATTCTCATCACTGGGTACATATGGGTTCTCCAGAGAAAGTATTAGCAAACAAATTAGAACAAGCGATGGCATGTCATTGGTTTCGATACATCTGTTTTATTAGAACCGTATGTTAGAACTGAAGATGTTCTATTGACATTGAAAATATTTGATTCGGACATTAGTTTTGAAAAGGAAGAAAACGGCAAACTACAGGTTTTAGATGTTAAAATTATTCGTTCAAAGCTACAAAATTCGTCTGAAACGATAATCTATCAAATTAAAACACTCAGTGAACTAATGATCAAACGGTCGTGGGTCGTTTCGTTTGGTTACATAGATGCGATTGTAGTAAGTATGATACAGGACGTTATCGAAATGTTCACCGTATTCTCTTCATGATGAACTCCAACGTGTTACACAGAGGAATAATGCAAAAATGAAAACGGTACAGTTTCTTAGGCAAAAGAGATGAGGATTATGAATCGATGTACGAAATTCTCTATCGCCACCGGCAGTTTACGTTTGTCTACGGTTATAGTTATTATTTTATCTAGTGATGAGTCGATATGATTGGTGTAATAACTTGCACCAATAACATTCTAATTAATTGACGATACTTTGTATTGTTTTGAAAGGTTGTAAATTTCGTACACTTGTCTCTGGCCAAATAGGCCTGAACTGTGTTCTTCTTCTAGTTATGGTTTAGTTCATCTCAGCCAACTTCTTTCTGTCGAGAAACGAACGAATCCAAGATGAACGTCATTTGTTTTTAGTCTTGATTAAATAAATTATTGAACATATTTTTTAATAGTACTGTAAAATCAATAATCATGATCATTAAAAACGTAAATGATACTGATCCAAATGCTTGTATAATATTTATTAATATGAATGAAAATCTACCATATTTATATATAAATATGTATTCCATATCATTTGAGGTAAATCTAAAATTTTGATACTTTTAGGTAACTAGGTTCATATGTAAATAAATAGAATAAATAATAATGAAATCAGATAATTAACTGATAAATAACAGAGATAGAGAGAGAGAGATTTAAAAATAAAGTACATTTTCGTAATATATTATTAGCCACTTCTAAATTTGATATTTCTGACCTTCATCCAAGAAAAGTACAAAATCTACTTCGTAAACCTGGTCTCAATAAAGTTGCTGGGATAGTTTTGTAATGAAATCGATAAGATATAATCAACATTTCTAATTAATCTATTTCTGAAGATGGATTTCTATCGTATTTTAAACAGGTCTTATAACACCCTTGTTCAAAAGCTGTTTTCATGCATTCCCGAGGGTCCTTATCTTAACAACAGAGAAGTCCTAAGACTTCGGAAAAAACGTCCGTAGAACTCAAAGGAACAATATTTGATAGTCTACAAAAGTGTTACTCAATATATTCTTTCAACTAAAAGGTTAACAATGTAAAACTTTAGTCTGCATCTCTTAGCACACTCGATCCTCTCCTTCCTTTCTTCTGTCATTTGTTTGTTCCTTTTATAATTTTTTTCTCTGTTGTTTTTATTATGTATTTGCATTCTTTTTTTGTCTTACGAGGGAACCTTTCGAGGTGATTAAAAGCTTTTTGATCGACATCTAGTGGGTTATAGGTTATCGCCCATGCTGATCCCGAATATGATCATGGGACTGGCCCATAGCTCTTCGCAGATCC